AAATTCTCATGGTTGCTAATAATTTAAAAAAACGGTTGCCCACATCTTAAAAATAGTTAATTTCATCAAAAAACGTCAGCCCACCTTCTAAAAATGGTTCTTTTCAATTTTTTGAAATAACGATTATTATTAAAAAATAATATTTTTAAGGTGGGTTAACGTTTTTTGTTAAATTGAACTATATTTAAGGGCAAACATTTTTTTTTAATTATTCCTTTATAAAAGGTGGGCAAACATGGGCATTTTTTATTTTTTATAAATTACGATTTTTAAGGCATTGGTTTGTTTTTTTAAATTCAATTTTAATGAGGTATTGAAAGTTTTTTTCGATAAAACAAGAGAGAACGCTGTAGTCGGGTGCCCCGACTATCAGATACCCGTTACTCAGGTAAAGGGAGTGCGAGGGAGATGGAGATAGAAACTTTGATCACGCATAACTTTTTAACGAATGGTCCAATTTGAAACATTTCTTCTACATTTCGATAGGTATTGATAAACACAATAAAACTGCATTTTTACTTTTCCGAAATATTTAAATTTTTAAAATCGTATATAAGCGATTGTGGGCGTTAAAAGGGGCGTGGCACCTTTTTGAAACAAACTTGCGCTGCGTAGGAACTCCTAGAATCTGCATGCAAAATGCCAATCCTCTAGCTTTTATAGTTTCCGAGATCTCAGCGTTCATACGGACGGACAGACAGACGGACAGACGGACATGGCTATATCGATTCAGCTAGTGACCCTGATCAAGAATATATATACTTTATAGGGTCGGAAACGCTTCCTTCTAGCTGTTACATACTTTTGCACGAATACAATATACCCTTTTACTCTACGAGTAACGGGTATAACTATCTTTTTTTAAGATGTGGGCAAGCGATTTTTTTCTGGTGGCAATCATGGGCCTTTTTATATTTTTCTGAAATAACGATTTTTAAGGAGTGCTTAAACGACTTAAAAGTTCAAAAGTTTTTTGTTTTTTATAAATTCTAAACCGTGGGAAAATAATTCTCTAGTGATTCCAAAAAAAAAAAAGAAAAAAGTCAACTTTTATTTTTTATAAAGTTTTCGAAGATTCCCTTTTTTCTAAACAAAAGGTGGGAAAAAAAACTAATTGGTGAACAAAAGTGGTCAACAAATTTCCAAACTTTTAATCTTTTAAAATTTAAAAAATTCGATTTAAGTCGCTTTAAGCTCACTTTTATGCCCCTTAACCCCAAGCCTGAATCAATTTGGAGTGCCAGCAGCTATGCAAATCGAGAGTCTCCCTCTACCCTATCCCCAAAAAGAAGGCCAAACAGTATCGTCTCCCCATTTTATTCTTTGCTATCGCTGGCTTTATGAAGGTTCAAGGAAGATGATGACGTGACGCCGCCAAACCGCATATTTTATATGTACATACATGCATCACAATTTTTATTCGCATCCAATAGATTTAGGTATCTGGTATCTGGGCTGAGGTCGCCCCGTCCCATCGACAGGCAGCCGCACATTTATGCACAGTTCAAAGATCAAAATGAATATTTTATTTGATTTGATTCCCGTCTAGCTGACTGAGCTGCTGAGCTTGGCTACAAGAAAAGCATTTTTAAGCGCTCAATCTCTGGCATAATAAACTCCGGGGATAGGGCCAATTGTCTGCTGCCTCAGAAATGTGCGCATTTCCCGAAACACGCCTGACTGATTGAATCTGTAGATGTGCGAGGGCACGCCGATGTCTTTAATGCCCTGAAAAAATGCCCCACAGAGCAGCTAGTCCTTCGCACAGACCACCCATTCCCAAAGCATGTATTAATGGAATCACGATAATCATTTGATTAGTTAATGCAGTATTTGTATTTCCACAAAAGGGCTGTCCGCGACAATAATTATGAATGCCCCCCATTTCCTCCTTACCCTCGAAGCTGGTTGATCAGGCGCCGCTGCCTCTTGAGAAGCTGCTCCATCCTGCGCCTCCTCTCCTCCTGGCGCTGCCTCCGCTCCTGGCGACGACGACGCTCGCGAGCCAGACGGCGGCGGCGGGCACGTCTGCGCCTCCTGGCCTCCGCCGAGGAGGAGGACGAGGAGGAGGACGCGGTGGTTGAGTCCGAGGAGGCGGCGGTGGTGGTGGTGGTTGCCGACGAATCGGTGGTGGTGGTGGTGGTGGCAGTGGAGGAGGTGGCTGTGGTCGCCTCCGTGGTTGTGCTGGTTCCACTGCCCTCCTGAGCCAGGAGAAGGCACAAGAGCACGCCGAGGACAAGTGCGAATAGGAAGCGCATTGTGATATGTCTGATCTCGAAAGCTGGGCGGGCTTTTATACGGAATCTGAGACAGAACCTACAAGAACAAACCTTGTAATCAGCAAATACCGGGCTGGTGCTCAACAATTGGAAATGTTTGCACAGCTTATCGATCTCGACAATAGCTTTAGCATGATCTTTAATGCTGTCGGGCTTGTAAGGGCAATCCCATAATTCAAACCAAACCTAAAAAACCATCGGTATCCCAAAAATATTTGGGCGATACGTGCTTAAGAAGCTTAAAAAATCATTTTTCCGAGAAAATAAATATTCGACTTCAACGAAACTTTTTGGTTTTATTGTTATATATTTCAACATTCATCTTAAATTTTTTCATTAAAATTTGTGTCATATTATGCCTGTTACATTTCGTCGAGGCGCCTCGAGTATGCATGAGTCGTGCGGCGGGAAAGATCCAGGTCGCAATTTCCATCAGAAAAAAAACCCAAAAAATTTTATATTTTTAATTGTACAGCTTCTTCAATAGTAAGTTTCTGTAAATAAAAAATCGTAGGTAAAAAATCGTAGCGCTTGCTCACTATTTCTCCTGTAACTTTAACAATATTTTGAATTTGTTTCTGAAATTTTAGGGACACATTCTTGGATAGTTTGGGTAGACATTTGTTCAAGAAAATAGATTTTTTGAAGCGTCTAAAGCAGTCTCCCTCCTTAAGGCTCTGGATTTATTTATAAACGGGTCTATTATTTCCACAAAAATACAACTAAATTTTAGTATGGTTAATTCAAGTTAAATCAATTTCTTTTCATCGATAAATAAAATTTGATTGTCTTTTGTTAAACAAAGGCTTAAAGGCTAAAAGGTAAACAGCGACTAGGATAAAACCTGTTGTGTAACTTCTCAGAACTTTCGTTCCTGATTTTCTGTACCTAAATATATTATTGTTATAAATCTATTTTTATTGTAATTAAAAAAGCAGTGAAATTGTTTCAAAGTATAGGTGATTTGAAACCCCGCAAAAATAATGTCTGGGACATAGAGATTTGGATTTTTAAGTATGTAATTGATAATATATTGTTTCAGAAACAATTTATGAGTTGGTTGTAGAAAAGACATTTTTTTAAAGATCGAGCTTATAATTTAATTTTTGATTACTGATACTATGCCAACCATACGTAACCAACCATACAATACAACTTAAATTAATGCCGTTTATTTTGGGATCTGATACGTTGCTAGAAAAGCCCTTGATATAACCAAGAAACAAACAGTTCAAATATTTTCAATTTCTTTAATTGGACGGTGGTTCGCAGCTCTGAAAGGCGTTTCCCAAGCGTCCTGCATCCGCTTCACCTATCCGCGCAGCTGCTTGATCAGGCGGCGCTGGTTCTCCAGTTGCAGGCGCAGCCTCTCATTCCTGCGCTGCCTCCTGCGCTCGCGGCGCTGGCGCTCGCGGGCCAGTCGACGGCGGCGAGCACGCCTGCGCCTCCTGGCCGCCGCCGAGGAGGAGGACGAAGAGGAGGACGCGGTGGTGGTGGTGGAGGAGGCGGCGGTGGTGGTGGTGGTGGCAGACGAATCCGTAGTGGTGGTGGCAGTGGAAGTGGTCGTGGTTGTGGCCGCCTCCGTGGTGCTTGTGGAGTCTCCACTGCCCTCCTGGATGAAGAGGAGGCAGCCGAGGATGGCGAGACCGAATACGATCGAGAGGCGCATGGTGATTTGGTTAAGCTGGGTAAGTGCGATGGCTTTTATAGCCGAGCTATCTGCGCAGTGTTAATTAATCGAACTACCTCATTATTACACTTGACATTCAGCAATGTTTGCACAGCTTTTCATGTTAATTTTTTTCTTTACCTTAAATTTTTCTTTACCATTTCAAAATTAACCTTAAAATTGAAATACGAGCATTTGTTCTAATGAATTTTCGGTTGTTGAAAAACTGACAACTTTATTAGCGTTTTAAATGTTGTTACCTCCTTTTCTTAATACTTAACTTTTGTGACATTCACTGCTACTATTGTTTGCAAGACAAACCCAAACATTTAACTTAGTGAAGGATGAGTTTGTCCTTTCTTATTGGGTTTTGACTCGGGGCTATTTAAATTTTTTGTTTTAGTTTTTGTCAGTGGACAACATTTAAAAAATATTGGATCCGTAAAATATAAATTTCTTATCCTATAAAGTATATAATCCTTGATCATGAGAGTCGATCTAGCCAGGTCCGCCTGTTCGTCTGTCGGACTGTTCCTCCGTTTCTAAGCAAACTAGTCTCACAGTTCTTATGTTTTCTGGATAAAACTTTTCCAAAAGTCTTTTTTCTATTCCAAGTAGTTTATATGTCGATATGATGACTATATGATATAGGTCCCATACAACAATCGAATCAACTATCACTTACTCCAATATAATTTTACTCCTTTTTGCCCCTTCAGATCGACTTATATTCCACCTATTTTGCAACATTTTATGGCGTATGGGCTCAGTAATAGTCCTTGAGGCATATGATATCTCGCGCACCTTTACTTTCGGGTCATCCAACACCACGATCCCCACATGTCAAGAAGCATTATAAATAAAAGAAAAAAGTTTAAAAATTAAGATTAAAGTTCTTAAGAATAATAGGTTGAAGCAATCAAATGATTATACATTAAATTAAATAATAAATGTATCTATTTTCGGAAGATCAACTACACAAAATAATTAAAAATACTTTGTTTTTAAGTAGAACCGCATTAAACCAGCACTTAATAGTGCACTTTATAAATACAAATAAAAGCAGATCACGGAAATAATTTTTAAATAGTCTTTCATAATTCCTTATTCTGTGTTCCCATAAGTTCCGTTTAAGCCTCTCACGAAGAAAAAGGAAATTGTATATTTGTTGTAATATTTTTTGCTTAAAAGTCATTTTTTGCATAAAATAATACAATTTTACTACAAATTTAAAAATTGTTATTTAAAGCAAAAATTGACAAAGAGATATTTATGCTTGTCCAAATGTATATTTCAACAAGAAAGGAAGCAAACTTCTACATTACTAACAAGAGAGAACGCTATAGTCAAGTGCCTCGACTATTAGATACCCGTTACTCAGCTAAACAACTTAATATAAATATGCAATTGCAACTGTGTACAATGTAAATACATACATATGTATGTAAGGTGGGTTATTAAGTCACCTCGGTTTTATTATTAATATTAGGTATAGATTATAAGTATATGGTGGAAAAATACAAGATAACTGCGTAGTTTCTCTATTCTGCTTATTCTGCCTCGTTTTTCTGCGTCCGTTCTGCTGCTGTCGTCTCCGCTGAATGCCTCCTGTTAATCTCCTGTTCTTCTGCTGTTCTGCTGCTGTTCTGCTGTTCTTCTGCTGTTCTGCTGTTCCTGCTGTTACTACTACTACTGCTGTTCCTACTGTTATTCTGCTGTTATTATTCTCTATTTCGCCCTGTACACAGTTCTTACATTCGGCCATTCCTGATTACTCATCTGTCCCGGATGACCAAGCATCCTCATTGTCCTTCACGTAACGCCACAACTTCATGTGATCACAGCTGGTGGAAGTGTTAGATGGACCTTCTACATCCGCTGCCTTCCGAACCTCATATCTGCCATTTCTCTTGACTCTTGTTATTTCATACGGTCCCAAATATTCTCCAGCGAGCTTTTTTCCTGCAACAAACTGTGTCCGGCGTATAGCGACTAAATCTCCAACTTGATAGTTGACCTCCGGTTTCCGCTTTTGGTCAAAGTGCTTCTTGTATGACTCCTGTGCACGTTGAATCTCAATCTTTGCATCTACTCTAAGTTGCTGCCGTTGCTCGTCAAAGCTTAAATACATCTCTTCCTCTAAAAGCTGAATAATACGATCAGTTGGCTTATTGTTCATCTTCACGCCAAACATTATCTCAAACCGTGACTTTTTCGTTGAAGCGTGTAAGTGGGAATTAACAGCTCTCTGCACCTCTGGTACTGCCTTAAACCACTTGGCTGGATCATCCGCCGAAATCTTAGAAATGATTGACAAGATCGTGCGATTTACCCTCTCGATTTGACCATTTCCACGGGGAACTCCGGTTGTGCTCCACACGTGCTCGATACTGTTTTTCTCCATGTGCTCTGCAAACAAGTTGGCAGTAAAAGCGGAGCCTCTGTCCGAAACCATCCGCACTGGGTTGCCAAAAATATCAGTCCACATCTCTATTTTCTTCAGCGTTTCCTCGCAGCTGGTAGTCTTTGTAGGGAAAAGCCATATAAACTTCGAAAATGAATCCACCATCGCAAATATGTACTTATATTGCTTCCCAGTGGCATCCATGGGGCCCAGATGATCAACGTGCAGCGTATGAAGAGGCTGATCACCTTTATCGATGCAGTTTAAAAATCCTTCTTTCTTGCCAAGCTTCTTGTTGTAAATGATGCATCTTACACAGTTGTTCACAACCTGCTGAACTTTTTGCTCCAAATGAGGAATCCAATAGGATTGTTGCACAGCATGAACTGTTTTTTGTAGCGCAAAATGACCCGCACTGTGGGCGTCAACAATAACTTCTTTTTCCATCGCTTTCGGGATTACGAGAAGATCATTGCCGTTCACCTCCTTATAGACCAGTCCCGCTTTCATCTTGTACCCCTCATATGGACAGCTGGCTAAAATTGCCGTAATTGCCTTCAGCATCTCATCTTTTCCTTGAGCTTTTTTGATGCGCGCAGTGATCTCCAACGACACAAGCATAACGCGGTCGGGATAGTGACTGAGACAGTCAACATGCTTTAATCGTTCTCCAGGGCGATGTTCCACTGCAAACTCGAAATCTTGCAGATAAACAATCCACTGCGTGACTGCTCTTGGTACATCTGTCTTCTGTAAAGTTTGCTTGAAAGCCGAGCAATCTGTTATCAACTTAAACGGCGATCCCAGCAGATAATGTCTGAATTTCTTTACCGCCAGATACACGGCTTTTGCTTCCAAGATGTAACTGTGCTGGCGAGACTCAGCTTCTGTTGTCTTCTTGCTCCA